GATCTTCAACTATCTCTAAGTTGAGCTTTCAAGATACATTTCAATTTTATTTATTTTTGCTACTGACTCTTTACTCAGTCCCTTTTCTATCAGTCGAGACATAAAAAAAATCATATTAAAATTAGACTACAAGAATGTTTGGCTAGCTGATCTTTAATTCCTACTTAGCAAAGGCAGATTTTCGCTTTTCTAAACATAAAGAAGTTTTCTCTCTCATCTTCAAAGGTCGTTGTGAGAATTTAATTAGTTATTATAGATAAAGCACTTAGAACAACTGAAATGGTAAATGGCAGGAAAGAGTAAAGAAATTATTAAATTATATCAAATCATATTAATTTATACGGTAGATAAAAGCTTATTCATGATACTGTGAGAACACAGTGAGTGGTGTTCCAAGCTAGAATCAGAAAAGCATTTCTAAGGGATTAATGCATGAGATGACAAGAATTAGCCAAGTGAAGAGATTTTTTGCAATGCATAGGACAGTGAATCTAATTTGTCAAAGGAAGTAGCATGTCCAAAGATATCATATAAGCATGTTGCATCTCCATCTATATTTGAAGGTACTTAAGGGTAGGGTTCTTTGTGTTTTTATTTATTAATTACAAAATATTTATTAAACATTGATTATACATTAGGCAGTATGCTAAAGGCCACAGATTACCAAGTGGATACACAGAGCTTAAAATTTTGTAGAAAAACAGTAATTCAAAGTATAGTGGAGGTTGGAAACAGATACTGATGGACAGACCACATTTTATAAATATTTATATCCATGTGTACTTGTCTAATATTGAGACTTGCTCAGTATAAATAATTATCTGCATCTCTTCCTAAGAGCATGATTTCAGGTATTCTCTGATTGTCTGCATAGCCCTGTGCCATTTATTCTACAAGCTCCTAATATATAGTCATGTTGCGACTGTTAGCAGTTATTCTACACAGCTATGAAAATATAAGACCTATTTTAAAACAATCTATATAATGTCACTCTGTGCTCTAAGCTTTTATTGAAGAAGAGAAAGGTGTAGAAAAAAATGTGTGTAATCATATGGCAAAAAATACTGCAAAAGAAGATGGTTTGATTAGAAATGCTCTGAAGTAAAGTTATAGAAATTAAAGGTCTTTTAATGCCTTCAATACTCAAAAATTTAATAAAAATATTTGAACATCCAAGTTGTAAATGGACATACGGTGTATGTAATTCTTACATTTTATAAGAGAAGAAATAGGAAGCATGTTAGTGATGACAGCACCAGACTGAATATAAACTTGACTTTAAAATCAAGTAAAACTGCCCCAGCAAATGAAGAGGCTAAGAGTAAATCTTCCTCTCTGAGAAGGTTGTTGGGACAGACCCAATTGTTTTTTTCCTGGCTTTTCCAAAGCTACAAGTCTGAATTTGACATTAGCTTTAGGAATAGCAAATTAAAAAATTTCAGCAGACTAGAGCAAGGAAGACATTTAATTTATATATAAATAAAAAGAGGAATAAATGAAGCCAAAATAGGGTGTTTACTTTTGAGCTGTGTGGAGTAGTTTTCATCTAACTGAAAATTCAAATAGCTGGTCAAAAATATGGTTGTTCTTTACTTACAGTCTAATAGGTGCTTAATAACATTAGGTAACCATAATAATATTAATAATATTAGCTTAGGTAGCAGCAAATATAGGGCACAGATTAGATCTTTATCAAGTTAGTACTAAACTTATTTAAATTTATATTAGTACAAGCTATGAGAAATAAAGAACAAAATTATTAGTCTCCCATAGCTTTGCCTAATTTAATAATTAGTTTTTATTCCTTTCTTAAATATTTTAAGTTTGTATATATTTCAGGGTTACCTAAGAACATTTTCTCTTTAATTCTGCATTTTGTTTGATTTTTGCTAACTTTGTTTTGATAAAGTAATTATCCCCATTTCCCTCAGCCATTTATTTACTCTGTGTATGACTTTGGACAATTCACTTATCAAATCCTCGAAACCAGTTTCCTCATCTTTAAGATGTTGACAGTTACAACACATTTTCAGAATTTCTAGGAAGATTGAATCAGAGACTTAAGTATAACACTTAGCGTAGTACTTAGCAAGAAAAACAGTAAACACTACCAATCACAAACAATAGAAAAAATAAAACTATACTTTTTAAATGACTGTTGCTAATAATTAAAGGTTTTAAGCACTTACTGTATATTTATACTGTGAGTTATAGGCACTGAGCAAAGTGATCTCATGTAATCCTCAACAACTAGGTATTATTAGCATCCAGTTATACAAGTGAAAAAAATAAGTGCTAAACAGATGTTAAATAATGTCCCCAAAGTTAGGAAGTCAATAAATGGGGGAATCAAGATTCAAACTATGTTAGACTAATTCTAGAGTATACGCTTACATCAATTAAATTATGTGTGTTCTTGTACCAGTGATAGCAATAGAAGAGTCTATGAGGGCTCTAAATTGAACATGTGAACCTCCAAAGGGAAGCATGGTAGGAGATCTTCAAAGTAATAAAAAAGAAAGTGATAAATCAAGAATCAAATGCCAAGGCAAAAATCAGATAGTAAAACCAAAGGGATTATTGGTGATAAAGGATAAATTAAGAAAGGTACCTAACACCAACTAAATATAGATACCCTAAATAAACTAATAGATCAAGTAAACCACGGTTGAATCTGTAAATCCCTCAGGCTCTTAATCATGTATCATTTTATGAATATGACAAAATATAAAGATGTTTGTAAAGCATTGCCTAACCGTAACCCTAACCTTCCAGCAAAATTTAATTCTGATCTCCTTCATTTACGGAAGGTAAGGTGCCCAACTATTAATTTTATTTGAACTTTTTAAGAAAATAAAAAGCCATTCCAATGTTCTAAAATAGATTATTTTAATGGTGACGTAATACAAATATATCAAAATTCATTGTATTGTACTCAAAATGGGTACATTTTTTACTATACTAATTTCATTTCAATAGACCTGATTTATAAAAATGTGTCCTCTGCTGGGAGTCTGGCTTTAGTTAGGCTGCCAACTTGCAAGTTGACTTGGCTACGAATAAGAGTGTGAGTCTAGGAGGCGGGTGAGGGCGGAGCAGCAGCTAAAGATAATGTGGGGTTCAACCTGCCGGTAAAGATCAAGTTATCTTTGCCTCACTTCTCTCCCTTCTAAAAATGGGCAGAAATGCACATATTAACGAGGAAACAAAAAGTTCTGCCATGTACAACTCTTCTGGCCAGGTCAATCCCTTAAAAAAAATTGTCTTAAAACAACTATTAGTCTGATGCATGCATGAAGACCAATTAATGAAATGTCAAATGTATTTGAGGTAGGAAAAATAATTAAACACATTTTATGTGGGAAAGAAAAAAATGCATCATATCACAGGGCATACATGGAAATGTTTCATGTTCTATAGTTCTCTTTATCACTATTTGAACTACTCCTAGTATATTTTATATAGGAACACAAATTAGTAAATATACCATACACAAATATACTATTCTTGTTAGTTACTTATTTTCACATTTCATAGGGAAAAAGAAAGTGCAATACCACATGTTATGATAGATTCCTTTTCTGATTCTGAAGAATGTGCTAATTTAAAGGGCAAAATGCCCCAAATATCCCTCTTCCTAGGCATTTTCTTTTTAAAGTAGGAACATTCTTATTTAACAGGTAATATCTATGGAACTGGGATTGATTTTAGCAGAATTCCCACTCTTCCTTTTAAAATAGTAAATGATGAAGTTAAGATTGTAATAAAAAAATGAACCCTTATTAAATTTGAGACCTTATTTTTATATTGAAAACACATTTTAACTCCATTAAAATAGTAATATGTAAATATTTTGATACTTTTCATGATGACCAAATTTTTAAATGTTGTCCTATGGAAAATTATAAATATTAAAAAATTAAATGGTAAAACAAACTCCATATACCATCATTTACTCTTCTAAAATTTCAATAATTTGCCACACTTGCTTTGCTTATCTTTCTATGTATATATTTATTATTATAAACTTTAAAGAAAATTCTAAACCCCATGTCTTTTACCCCTATAAAACTGGTTGTTATCAATTTTTCTTTAGTTTGAGACATTCACTGAATAGTAAATCAAATGTATATATTTAATTATGCTATAATAATCATAAATATCTTATTATAATCTATAATAATAAATTTTAAGATTTATTTAAAATGTATAGAAGACAAAAAAGGCAGGACAACTGTAACTGAACAACAATAAAAAATAAAATAAATAAAATATGCAATTAAAAAATTGTAAATAGTTCAGCTCGATTCTAATATTCAGTTTGATTTGACTTCATTTTTTCCTATTAGGAATTACCATACTAAAGTATAGGTAAAACTATTTTAATGTTAAAGATAAAGCAATGCCAAACTTGTTTTTAAGTTATGCCTCCTGCTCTATTACATTTAATATTATTTAATAATATGTCTCTTCTGAATACTGAAATCAGAAATATCATCAGCCACTTAGATGTGCAAAATACTTCACCTAAAAAGTGAGCTGGACAATCTTTAAATAGTAAATTATTTAAAATTCCAGAGTTTAATTTTGAATGTTTAATTCAATTTGTGTATATTGACAGTAAAGTATATATCATAGAATATCATTTCAACATTTTATCACTTCCATTGATATAGGCTAATATTATCTGTCACCATAAAATTTAAATAAAATTAGTAATACTAATGACACAGCATTATAAGACTTTCACAAAAAAATACAAGGAATTTTAATTTATGCAAGCATTGATACAAATACTAAAATAATATACTAATCAATTGCTACACTAAATTAGTATTTTATCTCCAAGAACCATATTTTGATTTTTGTTTAGTTACATTTTATGTATAAATTTTCATATATGTACTTTATTACTATTGAGGATTTAAAAAAATTTTTTAAATACCATTTTTCATCTTTATGTTTTTTTACCCTTCTAGGTATCTGTGATTAAACCATACCTTCAGAGTAACCATCTCTTCTGGATCGAACCTTCACAGGTGATTTTGTAACAGAAACTTTATTTTCATTGCTTTTGAATAATGCCAGGCGTACAGTAGCATCTAGACAAAATATCAAGATAAAATAAAAGTTCAGTTCTGGATGGTTCCTTCTCTGAAATGGCTATATATTTTTATGATAATATTTAAAATGATATATACTCTAGAAAACTGTAAAATTGATATTATTTGTAAAAGATTCATAATATGAAAAGGTAACCAACCATTCCTATTTTCTTGGCTGTGTAATTACACATAGCTACTACTTAATACAAAAAGCAGAAATGCTAATAATGTGAAAAAATTTACATTTATGGCATGATCCTTTTATTTGGGGAGTTGCTTCACTGTTTATTATTTTAGCTCCTTCCCTAAATTCCCAATATTTCTGCGGGAATAAAGTAATTTCCATAAGTGTGTAATAGGTAAAAACTGTTATCACAGGAAAAACCAAATACCCTATTTTTTCCCCTCTAAACTATGAGGAGCTAGAATAGCTAAGATGGAGGCAAGACAACTAATGGGGTGAGGAAAAGATAGAAAATGATTTTTTATTAATTTTACAGATAAATTAATAGTTTCTTTTAGTCCTAATTTATTGTGCTGAGTATTTTCCATAACAAAGATGTATAAATCCTATATATATTTTATAGCCAAGAGAATTCTAAATCTATTAATCTTACAAAATAAATAGGATGATTGTAAATGTAGGAGCTTATATTTAATTGTTAATGAATGGCTCTGTAGAATGTGAAATTGAGAATTTGGTCAGTTGAATTAAGACAAAAGGTTTTTGCTTGTTGACGAATTGTAAGAAAAGAAAAATATAAGTAATAAGGAGTAGAATAAAAAGTGGAAAATTGTGCACTAAAGTAGGCTAACTTATTTGTACATTTGAAACTAATAAAATGTTGCATGTCAATTTTATCTTAAAAACAAATAAATTGTAGGTTACCATTAAAGCATAATTTAGGTTAGTGTATATAGTTCTAGTATCTCACATCTTATTGCAAACATAGACTTTAAGATGTTTTTATTAATATCTAATATAATAGCATATTCTAAATGAAAAAAGGACTTTAAATATCATAAATTCTAAAATACATATTTTAATTAAATGCTAAGATAGCATGTTTTTTAGAATGCAAATCAGAAAAGCAGAATAGTATTTGCAAAGTTATTCTCAAGCATGGGAAAACTGAAGATTTCTATTAGTCCACTAGTAAGAATTTATCCTTACTAAGCATGATTTATATGTTTCACAGAGATTATATTTCTTAATATTAGAAAAATATTGGTCAACATTTGGGTACATTTCATAGTTACATGTGACCAAAAGTATAAGAGTTGGGTGCTTCTATATGTATTCAATATGAATTATTAACAGGAACAATAAAAATCCTTATGTGTACATCTGTACATATGTTTAATAGGATAATTATTATATAGTATCTAAGTTATTTACAAAAAAAAATTGACATGTCAAAAGGAGCATTAGTCATTCAGGAAAGAGAGATTACAATGGGCTTACATACTGTAATGATACCTTATTATAACCTGCTGATCTTTCCTCACATTCTCCTGACTTTCTTGCCTCTCTTTTTGCATATGTAATTTCTGAGCAAAGACATTATAATTTGATAGACCTGGGTTAGATTCAAGCTCCAACTTATACTTGTTAAATGATGCTGGATAAACTGCTCTCACTCTCTGCCTACTCCTGTGTCCAATAGAAAAAAATATTGCAGGAAAGAGCCTAAGTGCCCATCAGTAAATGAGTGGGTCAGAAAACTGTGGTACATTTACACAATGGAATACTACCCAGCAGAAAGAAAAAAAAGAAGCTTCTACCCTTTGCAATGGCATGGATGGAACTGGAGAGCATTATGCTAAGCGAAATAAGCCAGGGGGTGAAAGACAAATACCATATGATCTCACCTGTAAGTTGAACCTAATCAACAAAACAAACACGCAAACAAAATATAACCAGAGACATGGAAATAAGGAACAAACTGACATGGACCAAGGGGTAGAGGAGGGGCATAACGGGGGAAAGAAGGGGAAGGGTCATCAAGGAACGTGTATAAAGGCCCCATGGACAAAGACAATGGGGGCGGGAGGGCTAGGACTGAATGTGGGAGGTGGGACTAGGTAAGGCAGGTGAGAGTAATGGGGGGAAATGAGGACAACTGTAACTGAACAACAATAAAGAAGAAAAAAATATTGACTTCGAAATATTACCGTGAGATTTAATGTCATAATGTGTATAGAGCATCAAGCATAGGTGCTCAACTGGGGGCAGCTAATAAACATATCATTACAACATAAATAATACTTCCAATTTATTATACTCTTAAAAAATTATGAACCCTTCATAAAATAAGAGGAGTATACTGAAAATTGATTGAAAGATCCATCATTGATTTCATTTTATTCAACATAGCACATGGAATGAAACCTGATTTTTTTTTTTAATAAGTACTTTGCACACCCTTGAGAAAATAACAATCTCTTTGTGACTTGATTTCTTAATATGTAAAATATGGACAACAATAGCACTTTCCTCATACTATTATCAAGATTAAATAACTAATACATATACAGTATTTAACAGTTGTCTAGCTGCACTTTATAAAATAATTTTATTCATCAAGAGCATATAACAAGAGTGTTACATTTTCAATATCCTTTTATTTAAAAGCATTCTGATTAAACCACCTCAAATTGATTTAAAACTTAAATTAATTCCAAAGTCAAAAGATGATAAGCAAGAAACACAGTAATTCTGGTTGGGGAAATAAATCACTTGATTTTGAGAGTACTGGGAAATACCACTGTTAACAAGACAGTTTTCTTACCCTGAAAAACTATACAATCTAGTAAGAAAGCTTGGGCATAAGGGTATTGTAAAGAGCACAGCTTGTGACATCTTTTTCTTGCATTGTAAAGTCAGGTTTTTACATTTAAATCAACTCCTCTGAGATCATCAATAGCACATCTATCCTACTTTTTTATTTTTTTGTCTTTATATCTCAAGTATGATTTGCCAAATGTCTAGGAAATAAGTTTTAGTGCATCTTTACAAAATATTTAAAGAAACACATAAGTAAACTGAGTCTGTATTATGCATGTGGCTCCGTACGTGATGCTTGATATCCATTATCTCATTTAAACAACACAATTTTATTTAGGCATTAGACATTATTTCCTCCCCTATGGAATCCCTTTTTAGTTTTTGTATTCCTAATCTTAGCTCACTGGTTTATCTAATTCTCACAAACTTTCTTCATACAGAAAAATCTGGGTATTATCCATTTTCTGTATGTGCCAAGAATGACACTGTTGTAAAATAAGCTTTATGTTAAGGCTGAATGACTAGTTATATTTCATCAGCCTATAAAAAGTATTTTTTACTAATTTGCCTTCCCAAATATAAACATGTACATAAATGACTATACTACACACACACAATCATATGCATACACACAGTCAAATGTATTTAGTGGCTTATCTATTTCTGATTTGGCTATCAATTATTTATTGAACATCTACCATATTACAGGCATCATAGTAGGTCCTGGGAATTCAGTGGGGAACAAGTAGAGTCTTGGCCTCAAGGACCTTAGTGTTTAAATGGGTTTTTTTTTTTTATCGTTTGGTTGAGAATACAAGAAAGTAACATTTGATCAAAATTCTTGTAAATTCCTCTTGGAAATCACTGAGGTAAACAAAACAAATCATCAATAAACTTCATTTTACCACAGTTCAGTCTGTACTATTCCCCATTGATCCTTGGCCCTTACAGCCCTTAGCTGGCCTCATTTTGCAACCTGATCTCTTTGCTATAGCCCATAAACTGATTAATTTATATTAAAATGTCATCCTGTCTTATTTTCTAGCTGGCTTAATTCTTGGCTATAACTGTTACTAACACAGTCTCAAGTTATTTTTTTATTAAAATAAAATTAGCAAGTATTGAATGCTTAACATGTACTTAACACTGTGTTATGTGCAAAATGATACTCATCCCTAATTGCAGCAGTACATTTGCAACTAAGGTAACCTTGTTTACTTCAGCCTGCCCTTTCTTTTATCTAACTATGAAATTAAAAATGCATAAATATGATAACTGTTGAAAAACATTATGTCTTCAGCTTTATATTCTAAGCCCTTAAGCTTCTTACTATCTGCTCTTCACCAAAATTCCTACACTCAGAACTTATCCTCTCTGAGGAGTGCTCCACATCAAAACTAGTCACTCTTTCCCCACCTGGCTCATCTCAGTCTTGCTACCAATTATACTCACTATCTTTAGGTTATTAACCTTCATGTTTTCAATAAACTAGCAACTCTCACCTTGCACATACGACTGCAGTACTAAAATCTAAAGTTCCCCGGGTATCTGCAATTTCCAATGCAGATCAGCACATTCTGAAATTACTTCTGTACATGATGCGAAAGTAAAAAAAAAAAAGTACAAATAAAAACCTCACAAAAACAAGACTAGTCATAACTGGTTCATGCTATGTCCATCACAGGGGAAATATCAATGACTTACTAGGAACAACAGTCAGAACCCAAATCCAAACTGAGTAAATAAGCCATGGTGGCCTCTTACTATTTTAAATTTGCTCCTCTGGTTACCAGTTAATTTCTCTGCCCCTGCCCCTCCTCCACGTCTTCTCCTGCATAAAGCAGATGGACTCATTTATCCCAACTGAAGTCATCAATACTCAGTTTCCCCCAATGGCTGCCCACACTGCATGCTTCCTCAGCTCCTTGCTGCTTCACTTATCAGTGTTCTCAGCTGTGTTATTCCTCTACATGCAACTTTCTTTAAATAATTGACCCCATGCTTTTTTCCCTATTTTCACTCTCATCATAAATCAAATATTTTTATCTCATATATCTCTTGGCTAATAAATATATGTACAAGATACGAAAAGGAAATGTTTTATTAAGTGTTTGTTACAGAGCAACTTGCTCTGAGGTTTTTCATGGCAGAAATTTGAATTAAAGCTGCCATACTCCATTCATTTATGCTTCACCTCCTTGAGGATTATGGCTTTGTTAGATTTAGCATGTAACTGGTTCCATACAACTAAAAGATTTTATTCTCTGAACCCCCACCTGCCACCTTCCCTGCCTACGCCCAAGGCACTGGTTAGTCTCCACTAGTTTTTTTGGAGAAGGGTGCCCTCTGGTGGCTTGAAAATTTCAAGTTGGCTGATTGTCATGTACTATATCTCCATGGTGGCATGAAAATTTCAAGTAGGCCAGTTGTCCGTGTAAGATATATCTCCATTTATATTTGAAAATTATTGGTCAATTTTTAAGTTCCAACAGAATTTAAATATTTAAAATATTATTTTAATTTATTAGTGAGTAAAATATTAAATTATGGCCATTACTTTAGGCAGACTCAAATAATTTAATAGCATACTACAAACTGATTAAATTATAAAACTGGAAAAGTACTAGAAAATACTTTATTCTATAATATGAAAACCCATGTTGCAGAGTCTTAATAATTTGCTCACAGATGACATAAGCGCTACCTCATCAACCTAGTAGCACATCAAAGCATCATAACTAAAGATTCCGATGATACTCTTTTTTCAAGTTTTTCATCTTTAACCTTACTTTGGCTATTTCTACTCTGTATATCAGTTGTGAAAGGGGAGTGAGAAACAGAGTGAGGAGACTTTAAGGTTATCATTAAGTTTTATATTTCAAATTCAATTTTTTAAAAAGTACCTTTTATTGCATCAATCTAATAGTATTTTGATAAAAGAAAAGCAAAACAAAAGTTTAACAGAGAGATACAGAACCTCACACAGTGATGAAAAGGCACTTGGGTTTACAGTCATGGAATTAGAGTAAAGATCTGATGAAAATTACACAATTACCATTTAGGATTTTTACCTAACAGGTCAAATGTTAGGTAAAATGTTCTTAATGACCACTGTCAAATGTTAAATTTCAGATGTAGTTGTTAACTTGGATATCCGGTTGTACTTTTTCTGTTGTTTGTTACCCTACCATGCCCCCTTGTGACAGATAAAAAGAGGATTAGTTTTTGCCTAATAATAATTCTGTCTAATTTTTGGCCATTAAAGCAATGATTTTTATATATGAGTACATATTCCTTATTCAAACTTTTGCTAAAATGTATTATTTATTATGCTCATTTATTCAAAATGTACTCAACTTAAAAAAAACAATCAGTTATAAGTGTTAGGAAGAGAGATCCATATATAATGTATTTCCAGGGACTGATTCTAACAGAATGAACTTTTCCTTATCTTCACAGTCAGAGACTATGCACACACTGTAAATATTTTTAAAATAATAATTATTTGATGAACATTAGCTGAATCAGTTCTTAAGCCACTTACAATATTTGAACTTGTCTCAGGAGTTTCAGAAACTGTTATTATTATCAAAACAGCTATTAAAATAATGTTTTGATAAAATTGTTGAAGATGAGTAGAAATATACATCAAAACAATAAAAATAATTTACCAAATCCCCTGATTTACTGGATCCTACTTCCCCAGGACTTAGAATCTCAGTATTGGTAAGGGTTTGAGTTAACTATTTCTCTGGGTAACTACCTTGTAATACTCAATTCACAGAGTCCTGAAACTTTCATAGGAGTTTGCAAGGTAAGAGTATGGGTGGCACAAAGCAAGTTGACAAATGAAACATGTTTACATTTTCTTTAAAAATGCTTAAAATCTCAATGTTTTAAACCTGACAAATGTTTAGTATACAATAAAAAATATTGGTTATTGCAAAAAAGATAAAAGATAAAATAAAGATATCACTAAAATAAAACAAAAAAGGAAAGTTGAACATTTGTGAATATAAAACTGAATCATCAGTACTTTATCAATGGCTAGTAAGTGCTATGACAACATTATCAGTTATTCCTTGGAAACTAACAGTATTTTTGCTTATTTTTATCTTTTTTTTAAATTAAATATATATTACATATATTTTTTAGATTTCTACTATTGAACTAATAATCAAAAATAATAAAGAAAAAGTAATAAAGATAAAATTAACTTTTTGAATGCTTCTTTGTATGCTTTCTATGAGTTCATGAGTAAATATAAAGTTATGAGTAAATGCAAGGTTAATTGCAAATAATTTTAAATGGTTTTAACTATAGATATAAAATCATAATAACCTGCTATTGTCATGACACCTATAAACTACTCCATATATTAAGTAATTATACTAAAATGATTAAAGTTATCCAAAGAACAATATATGATTTAAAGAACACCTTAGCAAGTGGGATAAAAGATGCCTTTGAACATTTCCAAAGTTCTCCATAATCATGAAAGATATACATATCATTATGCTCCATTTCTAAAGTGTCAAGTTGTAAAGTATTCATAGTTAATATTTATGAAACTGATGAATTTATACAGCTTATTGACTAAACATACAATTTAAAAACACAGAAAGAAATAAGCATATGAAACAAATGCTCTTTAAAATCAACTTTTGCCAAAATGTACCATCTTAGTAATTACAGAATAATTTTGAGAGCACAATAGATAGAAGCAATAGCAAAATAAGTAAGAAACAGAGAAAAGTGAAAACAACATTTAAGAGAATAACAAACCATTTAATGTAATAACATTTTTCTCTTTCTTGTTTAATTTTTAGAGTTATGACCTTAGAAATACTCATATCTGTGCATTTCATTTCCATTCATATTAAATACGATTTGTGAAAAAATATTCTAAAAGAATTTATCTTCCACATCAAACACACAGCTATTATTCAAAGAGCATTGATTACCCACCTAATTTTTTCCTTAATTTCTTTGATTTCATTTTCTGTGCTCTCTTCAGCATTTGCTGAGCAGTAGATATATCCTTAAAGCCCCTATGAAAAGATTAAATTTAATGAAGGCAAAACAAATATCCATACCATATTTATAAATGCACACACTTACAAACATACATATCTGAATTATATTACATTAAAACAAATTTAGATTTCTATTTCAGAATCTATAATTTACAGCTACATAGTTTCTTAAAAACTAATAGAGGTATTCTTGAAATCTTGAAAAATATCTGCTTTGGAACTTCATAATGTTTTCAATTTTAAAAGTCTCCTAATATTTTAGTGTAATATAGACCACATACCATTCTTCTGAAATTTTTTCCTCTTTTACAGATTTTAGCAAACTCTTTCTGCTGGTCTTTGATTCAGATGTCCAGGATAAAGTTCTATTTTCTGATCTAGCAATAGAAAAAAACAGACACAACTGAATCAACACGAGCGTATCAGCACTTTTTAAAACTACAAGCTATTTATGTTGTCTCAAACTTGAAAATAAAATCCATTTAAGTTACAGAAAAGCTTTATCTCGAAAAGCAATAAATGTCTGCCATTAATTTAAAATGTTTACATTTCAATTACTCGAAGCATATTTCAATACTTTTGTCGAAAGAAAAGCGGCACTGGAATTTTTATTCTAATCCTTATCTCAACCTATACAGCAGTACTTGAAAGTCTATTTGTTTACAACAATTAATTACATTATTTTACTGACACTTATGATTTGTAGTTGCTTGAATGAATCTACCTTGCATATTTTTATACACTGAAAACTCCACAAAATAATTGTATTTTAACTTTAAATATTCTTCCATCTTCTAGACATGTAAATTTGCTCCTATTTTCATTATTTTCCTGCTTTTGTAAGAAGTATAATATTCTTCATAAGTATGTAATTCACGGGTTAATCCTCTAAAAGAGTAATTTGACTTACCTGCCATTAAACTGTACGTGTTCCGATGAAAACAAGTTTTTTTCATTATATAGCCATGCTTGAGCTGGAGGACTTGGTAAGTTAAATGAAGTATCATCATAGTTTAAGGTTCCAGAGAACTTATCAGAAAAAAAAATGTACATAAATATAAAATTGAAAAATTCTAGCATTCATTTTGTATTACTTCACATGCATAGAACAAGTAGCCTCCTAAGGGAAACATATAAAAATTGAAAATTATAATAAAATTAAATTTATGGAATAGAGATATAAATATTCTTTGTTGTAGGGATGAGGAATATGCTTTTTGGTATAGTTTGCCTATACAAAATGATTAATTGCAAAGATCTTAAAAAAATCTCAGGAAACAAAAACTTCAAAGATTATCAAATAAATAACAGATATTGCAGTCCATTGACCTCTGACTGAGAATCTTCAGCTGCTGCCCTCTTAATGCATATTTTTATATTTTTAAAGTGCTTTCAACTAGTGATTTTTAGTCTACTGCCAAATATGCAGCTGAACTATATCATTTTTTTTGCTACTGTGAAATAAAGTGTTGAAAGAAATCCAAAATAAAGAAAAAATTAGGAGCAAATGAAAGAAAAGCTACATGAATAATTACATCTGGGGATGGGGAGGAAGTCAGAGGCTTCTAAAAGTAATTGTGTTTTTCAAGCCAATAAATTGTATTATTAATCACTGCAAAATAGCACAACCTTAAGAAATGAACAAAGATGGAGCACTAAGAAGTTTCCATGACATGTTACCTTTGGCCAGTGCAGCTGGTTTGGGAGAAGCTGTGTTTGTGAAGGGAAGCAGGCGGAATCTAAAGTTGGCCATTGCTTCTCCAAGGCAGCCTGCACAAATAATAACGTTAATGTACATAATTTAGTTTGCACAACTTTGACAAAGAGTCTTTAAATTGTCTTACATGCTACTAAGGTTAAGAAAGTATATCAAAATTTTTATTTACCAGAAAATTTGCCACTTACTATTACGAGATGTTATGCATCTGTTTACTGCAATCATTCTCAAAATTGGGATAAGAATTTTTTATCCCCAGTGCAATGAAGTGAGAACCTGAGTATTCAGTGCTCTAAAAGTAAGAGGTGCCGATTGTTCAGAGTATGTAACTAACTGTCTGATAATTATGACTTTGAGACAACTCTGGATATAACTAAAGGAAATAATCTATTAGGTTTTTATAATGTAAATTATATTACCTCCCATTAAATCTCACTATTGAAAATGTATAGTATCTTATGACATCAGTATAGTATAGTATCAGTTTTTCTATAAACACTGTGAGATAGATTTGCTAAATATTTTTACAAAATTTCACAAATTTTCTGAATAGATGACAAAATAATTTAATGGCAATATAAGAAACATGGTTCCTGACATTGTATTCTCTAATTTAAGTATTTGAATGAAAAATATAAATTTAAATTTTGCAAAAATCCCATTTTAAATCCATTCATTCTTTATCTTGGAACATCTTTAGTCCATTTGTATAATTTACAAATTTATTTTATCTTTCCATAATGGGACTATATTAGTTATGTTAATTTGTATAATTTAAGACATATTTATCTAACTTTTATTTGTTTGGATGATCTAATATGATATGAAATAAACTTCCTTGGTTCTGTAATTTTTTAAATCTGTTTGATAAAGGATGATCAGAATACCAATAAATTTGTTTCTGAAAAGGTTCTAAATTGATGAAACATATTTATGATTTAAAAACAAGAGTGATTATATTCTGTGGAGACTTAAGTGCAATTTTCCGTTTATATGATTACAATGTTTCTTGACCATTGGGAAGGCAAGACTACAACATCCTGACTCAGTGATAGACTTTTAATTACATAGCATTTAGTCTTGGGAAACATAATCAAATTCATATTATTTGTATATCTATATAAATAGGACACCTCTATTTAGTTGTCAGGTGCATTGTCCAACTTCTTCTAAGCAAAGATTATATGTATCACAGTTATATACCAGTTATTTCTGGTTTAACCATGCTACTTGATGCAAAAGTGCAAACAGGTTTCAGGGCTCAGGTTTTTTAATTCTTTCTTTCGTATGACAAGTAAATAAAAATCCAGATCTATCTCAGGGAAGATCACAGGATATGTCAGCTATGATCATATTAGCATTCTTAGTCTGGTGAAAACTGCTAAAGTGAAGAGATGTGAAGATGTGGAGACAACATTGTAAAAGGCAATGAATGTACCAGAGGATTCTGAGAAGGTGGAGGAACAAAAACACCAGGAACTTTTCTCCCATCCTAGATAACTGCAATGGCAGAATGTGTCTGATGTAATTATTCTGAAACTCTGGAGTCTATTGAAGGCTCGTAACTTCCAGGAGAAGAATTGGATAGTAAATTGAGGTTAATTTTGGTCAATTTCAGCTCTTATCACAGTAGCAGCTATCTATCTTCCCCACCCCTAGGCAGGCAGCTGTTCAAGTGTTTGTGGAGCAGCTTGCACACAGCTTGTGGGAGTCAAAATAGACAATGAGGATTGGTCCTCCACACATTGGGGATCTATGCTCTAATTGCTGATTGTTGCTTTTGATCACAGAGGTGCAAAGGGCCTTCGTTGTTGCACCTGCCCTATTGTTATAAGCCCTGTCTTACCAGCTAAGTGATTTCCAAGGGATTTAAAGGGTTTGTGCCCTTTGCCCAGCTCCTTCATTTTTCTTCTTTTCCTCTTTTAGGACCCAGACATTAAAAACTAGACTATTCATTAAAATTCTTCTGAAAGCATAAAGCATTAATATAAAATGCTAAAGAAACTTTTAATAATTATAAAATTATAACCAAATAATGCTACCAAGATTCATGATTTATAGGAGTTCAAACTTATTAATATAAAGTGTATTTGGCAGTACCTAGTATGTTGAGGAAATAATCTCAAAATGTCAGGAGAAATTGGCTAATATTGTAAATATACTACTGCTCTAAAAATATGTATTAATATATCATGCTTACCGCTAGATATTTATACAAATGCCAGTTATTGCTTAAGAACTCCTTCTGTTCAGATATTTTTTTAACTTACAAGTGAGGATCTGGAAATATTTCTGGTTACTAGAACACTATTATCGAACATGTATTAAAAATGAACTTGAATTTAGATAAATTTGCAACTGTATGTTCAGAATTGAGCACTTGATCAGATATACATATTTTTGCCTTTGCATCAGAGAAGAAATCATTTTATCATCCAAGTTTGAGAGACTAGAACATAAGGCTATCAGAAAGGAACTGCAAGTAATTCACATGTTTATTTCTATCTTAAGATGTGAAATTTTTCATGCCATCCAGTGTAATCCTTTTATTTAACATGTGACACTAGGATCAGACATGTCCTAAGCAACAGGTCAGTTAGAGTTGAACAGGGCCTAGAAATTCTAAAAGCCATGACTTGAATTTTTTCTTATTCCTGTTAGGACCCCCTCCCCTGCCACAGCACTTCCCTCTCCTTCTGCCCAAGTTGACTCTTGCTATCCACCCCCCAAATTCTTTTGATTCCTTTTGATAACTTTTCTAGCATCTCAAAATCCTTAGTTTGGAAACATAGCTCATTCTGAATCTTAAATCTCACTTTCTAAACCCTTTCCTTTATCATCAATGGAAATGCTCCAATGAGCATGGCTGCTCATATGGTTGGAGATTATTACTGTTACACATTCCATGGATGCTTCTTTTCACTAAACCAAATATGTCACTTTCCTTTTGCCTTTTCCTTTGCCTGTATTTTTAGGTTTTGTTTGTTTGTCTATTTTCCTTTCTTTTTTAAATTATAATTTCTATTTTTTTTGACATTTTCAAATCAATGACAATTTTATTTTATTTTTTTATATTTTTAATTAATTAATTAATTGATTTTCCCAAATACATTTGTCTCTGTCTTCCCCCCACCACTTTCCCCGGCCCCCTCGCCCCCTCCCTCAATGCATGTTGCCTCCTTCTTAAACATTGTTCCTGCATACATTGAATTTGACTTTGGTCTGAGACAAAAAAAAAAAAAATCCAAATTTGACAGTTGGTTTTGTTTTTTTGTATTAATGATATGTTAATTTTCCTCATCTCCTCTGGGTTGGTTTAGGGATTCATAACTTTATTGGTTCTTTATATTTTGGCTTCTAAAGAGCAGGCATAAAAGAGAAAAACTCTATTAAAGTAACTCAATAACTAAAAATACCAACTAAAACTTACTTAACAACTTAAAAGAAGCAAAATAAAAGTGCCAATGTCATTGTGCAACATCAGACCTAGCACACCTTTTATTTTAGACATTTATTATATTGTTATATATATTTCATGACAAAGTGGCTAAAACTCCCCACACAGAAAATTAAGACTTAGGCCCATTAAAACTTCTGCTAAAATAATTTTTTTAAAAGGATGATACATTATGGACTCAAGGACCAAGAAAATGTCTTGTTCATCACTGTTTCAGCAGTCCAATATGAGTATAATGTAATAGGTGCTTAATGCTGAGAGACAATTCTCCATGAGCCTCCCACATTTCTGTGTTTTGTGACAGCTTTTTTTCTCTCCAGGCTATCTTTTTAAGGACCTTTGTAGCTAACAGCCTGAGAAGATGAGATAGTGTTTCACACTATCTTACAGGATACTATCTTAGTGTTGCCCAGACTCCCAGGGTGTGGGACACATTGATTCAAATGATGAAGTTTGAACATAGTTTACAGTGGAGAAAGGAGCTAAAATTATCTCTTGGGGAGGCCCTTTAGGTCAATTCAGTGGGTTTAGTGTGAGCACCTCTACCCTCTGATGTCTGAAATTTTCTTTATATAGATGATATCCATTTGGCTGTATGTAAATTATATCTCAATTTTTAAAAAATCCTTAGTTTCAGTGGTCCTGATTATGGTAAGTATTGTCACACACATCTGCATTCAGGGTCTGGCTGATAAATCTGAACAAACTTCCAGGCCTACATTCTGAGGCCTGTTCACCAAGCAGTTTCATCGTCTATGTCGGAAAATGTACAATACTCAGTCTCAACAGTAGCCAAGGAAAAACTCCCGTCTCTTCAGCCAATTACCACAAAAAAGGAAGCCCAACATCATATTGGACCCTTTCAGTAATGGCAATAATAAAAGTCTCTGTGGCTCATGATTTGGCCAGTTGGGACCTCTGGCCTCCACCTGGAGACATCCTGGTGGTTTTAGATTTGCGGCCTTTCTGACACAGATACCAGGCATATTGAAAATCAGTTATTAGTTTCCTACTGGACTATTTTAGGAACTAAATGACTGATCCATGGAGAACTTGTGACTGTCTGGCCTGATATTCCCAGTTTGGGGTGGAACAACTCAGATTCAATCACTAACAAGTTAGGAAGGTCCCACAAAGCCACACTTGCCATCAAGTGCGCCACTGGCTCCAGTGGCATCTTGGCTTTACATGAAAAAGTGGAAGCTATACTCCTCAAGGGAACTGTATCTCTACTTCACGGCTTCATCCCAAGCTGCTAGCCTGGAGGGACTTCTATTCACTCTGGCTCCCCTGAATACTTGGGCCTGGTTCAGGGATGGTTCAGCTAAGCTGAAACTCAACTGAATCTTGCACTGTAGCCAATGACCTTACAGTGTGATCTGTCATGTGGAAAACTACCGACTTGTTGACTAAAAACACTCTGCTCTGGACCCTCACAACAGGGAAGCAAATCACAGCTGCATGTCGAACCATTTGATTACTCATACGGATGTCCATGGCGAGGCCTGCTCCCTCATGAGAGAACTAGAATCATATCACTAAGTGAGCCTGATTCTGCTTCTGACATGAGGCCACCAAATCATGCCATACTTGTGA